GAGAGAGAGAGAGAGAGAGAGAGAGAGAGAGAGAGAGAGAGAGAGAGAGGGAGAGAGAGAGAACAGCTATGTGTTACATGCAGCGCGTGCACACACGGGCCATTTTGCAGGCCCGACGACCGTTTTGCACGCCCGACAGCGTTCAGGCCAAAAGCCTGAACTTCACGCCGAAAGCCTGAAATCCAGGGCTTACAGGCCCCGTGTCGGTTCAGGCCAAAAGCCTGAAGTCCAGGGCCTATCCCTGGTCGTTTCAGACCAAAAATGGAAACAACCTTTTTAGCCTGAAACGAAGGGCCATTTTCGGTCGTTCATCAGAACGACCGGCCCTGAAACTCAGGCACCGAGCCAGGGTTTCGGAAACAGACTATTGTTAGTCTGTTTCCCACCCCAGCCTCAAGCAGGCTGCTGCACGCCAGCCCCTGGCACGTTTCGGCATTGGCAAGAGCTGCCTCCTCGGCCTGACTGCCCTCTAGTAGTCAGGAGGCAGGCCGAGGTAGTACATAGGACTTCCCAAACACTTCCGAGGTAGGCAGCTGGTAGTTGTAGTCTTCAGGATTCGGGTGCAGCACTCTGAAGGGAGCGCTGCGTTGTAGTAGTGGTAGCGTTAGCTAGTAGTCTTCAGCGCTGGGCGCAGTAGGTAGTTGTAGTCTCCAGCGCTGGGCGTCATAGCTAGGTAGTACTAGAGGGAGAGAGAGAGAGCTTGGGCGGAGGCCAGAGGTACCTACCTGCAACACCGTTGCTCCAGCTTCGTCTTCGAGGTACCTGCAGCACAATGCCAACATCACAGGTTAGTACTTGGTTCGTAACAGAGAGAGAAAAAAAGTTCTTCTTCTTCCTCTTCTCAGTCCACCATCTCTTATTTCCCTCTCACTTCTGACTTCACTGCATCTGCAGACTATGAGAGAAGAGATACAGAGCCTGGTGACATTGGATCCAGACTCGACTTTCGAGGGTTCAGACATGGCAACGAGGGACTATTTGGGATTGGTGACCAAGACTTGGTGTTAACGACATNTCCAGACTCGACTTTCGAGGGTTCAGACATGGCAACGAGGGACTATTTGGGATTGGTGACCAAGACTTGGTGTTAACGACATTCCCATCTTCTTCCCTCCTTTCGTCTGTTCCTTTTCTCTTCGTCTATGTATGTCTGGACCTGGCGCTTTCTTCCTGTGTGTAGCGTCAGGCTCCTTCATACTTCGTGATGGATACAAGGCATGTTTAGACTGAGTTCAAACATTGATTGGGCTAGTTAGAGGTATTCTAGCATTCTGAACTACGTGAATGAGGTCAGTCCTGTCAGGCCAGTCTTGTATCCAAGTCTTCCCTGCGCTCTTCAACATCTTTATGTATGAATGAGAATGTACATTGCTTGTCGAGATTCTACTCGTACCACATTGTCTATTCAGTCCTTTTCATCACATTGCAGATTCTCGGTTTATTATGTACATTTTGCACGTGAATCAGGACTATCTGATCTGACACGTGTGCGGGGATCAAAAAGCTAGTTAGTCTTTTCTGTTGATTAGGACATACTAGTTAGACCCCAAAATCACGATCTTGACCTTACTACAAAAAAAAATCGATTTTTTTTCTTTTCTCGGATTTTATTTTCTCGTTATTCTGCTGTGGAAAATCGCTATATCGCAACATCTGAAGTTCCTATTTTCGTTTTTCTTTTTGAAAATTCGAAATTTCGTTGTTAAAAATCCGGAATACATTTCTTTATGAAAATTTTGATTTTCTGTTGTTTTTTCCCATACTTAGAACTTCGGAATATCTTCTTTTCTGAAATTCGTTTTTTCTGAAAACGGTACGGGAAATACCTCTTGCACGTATTATTTTTTTTTCAAATTGCGAATATTCCCATCAGAATAAATCCGAATATTTGTCATTTCTGTTCGGACTTTTTTTTCGCAGATCTTGGATTCTGTCAGTTGGTTCTATAAATCGGTTGCAGTCTAAAGTCGAAATTTTTTCGCTCTCAGAGATCATTTCGTACGTCAAGGGAGATTGGGAGACTTACCGAACTTGCAAAAATCAGGATTTTTATTTTTTAGTTTCTCGAAAATTTTTTTGCGAAGTTCAAACTTTTCTGGTTTAATTAGGGGGTCCTTATCTAAGTGTGAGTTGGGCGATTATCCCACCCACCCCTCCCCACCTACGTTGTTGCCATCTCTCGCCTTGCCGTTTCTGGTTGTCTTCGGGTACCCCTTGTGACGRCATTGGTAAGTTGCCACGTCAGCAGGCCACGTCAGCAGACCACGTCAGCAGGACACRTCAGCAGGCTACGTAAGTACGTCAGCAGGCCACGTCAGCAGGACACGTCAGCATTGCCACGTCAGCAGCAAGGGATACCACATCAGCAGGCACCGGTATGGTCTATGCTGTTGCGTTCACAGACAGTAGTCATGGACCAGAAGACCGGGGAAACAGACGAGGCCTATCAGGCCCGCATGTTAGCCTGGAGTACCGAGACAAAGAAGTGGGCAGATGACGCTGCCGCGGCAGCCGAGAAAAGGGCAGAGGATGCCGAACAGGCACGTCTGCTGGCCATGGAACAACAACACCAGCTCGACGAGGCAGCAGCAAGGGCTGCCGATGAAGAAAGAACACAGCGTCGTGAGAAGATATTCACCGGAGAGCGGGCRTTACTTACCATGGCAGCAGAATGGCGAAGCAAGGYCGAGAACAACCAGTTGGAGGACAGCGCAAACAAGATAGCGCTCCTCCTCTCGCATCTCACGGATCTCCTGGCAACCTGCATTACACAGCAGGCGGAGATCCTTGGTCTCGAGAACTCGGTAACTAACCTCCAAGACCGCCTTCAGCGGGTGGAGCAGCGACCAGTCGCCGTTGCCGACGCAGGCTCTTCCAATACTGCCGCCTGCCTCACCGCATTGGAGATGCACGTCGGCTCCCTCCAGGACGGCGCTGAGTTACAACAGACCGCGACGCAACAATTGCAGCAGCGGATCTGCACTACCACCACCACCTCGAGTCCGGAGCCGCGCGAGACAACTCCTAAGTTCGATGGGCAGGAGATCTTCCACAACTCAATCAAGACAGATCCAATTCCATGGTTTCGCAAGTTCGAGCTCACGCTGCAACTCCACAACGTCAAGGAAAACAAGCACCATGCTTACTTGTGCTCTCGCTCAGGGGGCGCGTGTCAGGCGTGGTTAGACAACTTGTTGTCCAAGTACGGAGTGGTAGCAACGGACTTGCACACCATGATCAGCTGGGATGATCTGAAGGCAGCGTGGCACAAGCGGTTCCAGGTAAAGCCACCAGAGATCAAAGCCATGGACAAGCTTATGGTCTTCGAGCAAGGCTCGCTGCCGAGTACGGACTGGATCGCCGAGTACCAACGCTTGACGTCAGTCTCACACATCCAGATGGGCTTCAAGGCCATTCGCCACTACTTCATCTCAAGGTCATGTCCGACATTGAGCAATGCCCTGGCGCATGTCGAGGACACCTTGACGACGACGGCGGAACTATTCGACAAGGCGACGCAGATCATCGTTACGAACAAGGAGGCCAAGAGCCTCCGTTCTTCTACGTCAGGCCCGAGCGGAAACCAGCATCGGCCACGAGTGACCGTGGTCGCAGCTGCAGCGCCGTTAGACCAAACCAGCGAGGCTGCGTCTGCCAGTGAAGGAGACAGATTCGCAGCCGCCCGGGAAGGTGGCCGCGCCGGCAGAGGCCGAGGGTGCGGCAAGCCGAAGGCACACACCGTTTCTAGCCCCGGGCCCGGTGCAGCAGCTCAGACAGGCCCATGGACCCCGTATGGCCTCTCCGAGTCCGCCTACAAGGCGCGCGAGAGATTCCATTATTGCCTATGGTGCAACAACGATCTTCATCTGACACCGGTTTGCCCACTGAAGGGCAAGGGTTGACAGGGAAACTGAGCACCGCCGAGAGTGATGGGACGATACTCTCGACGCCTTCGGAACTGGTTTCTTCGCGAGTGACCAGCCTTCATTCCGAGGCGCACACAGAAGTCGACAGTCCTCCGCTTCTATTTTCTTTTGAGGACTATGCTGCCCGGCTCGTTCCAACGCTGGGTACTCAGGCTCAAGGACAAGGAGTGTGTGCGGTTTCTTCTCCGTCCGGCAACAGCGACATATCGTCTTCAAGTGGTTCGTCACGGGATTCGGCGCGCGAGTTCAAGATAGAGGTTTTGGACCCGCTCACGTCTGAGGACTTTGCATGGGTTGCTCTCCCGACCACAGGCTGTTTGCCGGACCACGATGCGCAACACTTAGCGCTCATCTCCACACTTACCTTTCCTTCTATGCACCACGAACTTCGCCGACGGATGACGAAGTCACGGTGGGGGACATCCTGGCGTATGTTACCAAGGTGGCCCGCGAGTTTCGCACGCAGCGGTATGATAACAACAATGCACCGCTCATGTATGTCCGCATCCAGGTTGGGCAAGCGTCCTGCAGCGCTTTGCTGGATAGCGACACGACTCACAACTTCATGAGCCAGTCTTTTATGCAAAGAGCTGGCCTTGGCGCTCAGGTTCGGAGGAAGGCAAACCCGACGGCGATCAAGTTGGCGGATGGTAAGACGCAGCACCTTCTCGACCGTTACATCGAGGCCGTACCAGTCTACTTCGCACCTCATGTATGCGAACCGGTAACATTCGATATTCTCGACACGGACTTCGACATCATTCTGGGAATGCCTTGGCTCGCAAGTGCGGATCACACGGTCAACTTCCATCGGCGGACTCTTAGCGTTCGCGACGCCTTCGCCGCAGAAGTGGCGTGTACGATTCCTCGACCGCACTCTTCGATCCGGTGCCAAGTGGTGACGGCCATATCATTCCGGGCGACTTGTGCTTACGAGCAGCCCGAGGAGATCGGCATATGTTTCCTACGGATCGTCGCGGTAGCCGACTCTTCACCCACGGACTTGTCTTCGGACCCCCGTGTGGTACGGTTGCTAGACGAGTTCGCCGACATCTTCGAGTCACCTACCGGTGTGGTGCCAGGTCGGCTAATCTCTCACGAGATCATTCTTGAGGCCGGTGTCGTGCCGCCGAAAGGTTGAATCTATCGGATGAGCGAGGAGGAGCTTGAGGTACTCCGCGCACAACTCGATGATTTGTTGGCCAAGGGCTGGATCCGCCCGAGTAGCTCCCCATATGGAGCACCAGTTCTCTTCGTCAGGAAGAAGAATAAGGATCTACGATTGTGCATCGACTACTGCAAGCTCAACGCGCAAACCGTCAAGAATGCGGGGCCTCTTCCTCGCATCGACGATCTTCTCGAGCGGCTGGGCGGTGCGAAGTATTTTTCCAAGTTGGATTTGAAATCAGGATACCATCAAATCTTGATTCAGCCAAATGATCGCTACAAAACCGTATTTAAGACGCGGTACGGGCATTTTGAGTGGTGGTCATGCCTTTTGGCCTCACCAACGCCCCGACGACATTCCAGGCGGCGATGACCAATGAGTTCCGTGCAATGTTGGACCGGTTTGTGCTGGTCTACTTAGACGATATTCTCGTCTACAGCCGGACATTAGAGGATCATCTTGGACATCTTCAACGAGTGTTAGAGACACTCTGTCGTGCCAAGTACAAGGCCAACCGCGACAAGTGCAAATTTGCCCGGCAAGAGCTTGAATACTTGGGCCATTTTGTCACACCGGAGGGCATCAGTCCGCTATCGGACAAGATTCAGGCCGTCCAAGAGTGGCCGGAGCCTCGGAACGTCACGGATGTCCTCTTGCTCCTCAGTCTTACCGGCTACTATCAGCGCTTCATCAAAGGCTACTCCAAGATCGCAGCCCACTTGAACAAGCTTCAGTGCGAGGATCGGCTGTTTGACTTTGGAAAGGAGGCGCGGGGATCATTCCTCGCTCTCAAAGCCGCGCTATTGTCTGCGTAGGTCTTGCGGATATACGACCCGCTCGCGCCTACACGTGTCACTACGGATGCGTCAGGCTATGGCATTGGTGCAGTCCTCGAGCAACATGATGGTGTGGACTGGCACCCGGTCGAGTACTTCAGCAAGAAAGTGCCACTCGTGCATTCCATTGACGATGCACGCAAGAAGGAGCTCCTCACGTTCGTCCACGCGCTCAAGCGGTGGCGGCACTTCCTCCTTGGTCGAAACCACTTTCGCTGGGTAACGGACAACAATCCGTTGGTCTTCTACAAGACCCTAGACACCGTCAACAACACCATCGCTCGATGGATGACTTTCATGGACCAGTTGACTTCTTTCCCGATCACATTCCCGGGAAGTCGAACCGTTTTGTGGATGCTCTTTCACAGCGTCCGGATCACTGTACCGCGGTCTACTCGACTTTCGAGATTGACGATGACCTGCAAAACAGCTTCATCCGCGGTTACCAAGCCGACCCCGAGTTTCGCGACAAGTACGCGAATTGCTCCTCGCCTAATCCGGCTCCTTCTCACTACCGGATCCAGGAGGGGTACTTGCTTGTCCACATGCGGGGGAAGGACCTTCTTTGCGTACCAAGTGATCCTCACTTGCGTACACGGCTTCTAGGCGAGTTCCACGACGCTCCCGCCACTGGACATTTTGGAGTCAATCGCACGATTGGCCGACTTCGCCAACGATTTTGGTGGCCCGGCCTTCTCAGCGACGTCACACGCTATTGCGAGTCATGCGAGGTTTGGCAACGCTGCAAATACCGCAACCATCGTCCGTACGGCGAGCTACGACCATTGCCAGTCCCCTTGAGGCGAAGGGAAGTGATTGACATAGACATCACCGGCCCGTTCCCCAAGCACAAGACCGGAGTGGATGGGATTCTCACGGTGGTCGACCGACTCACCAAGTTCGCTATGTTTTTGCCTTGTCGCTATCATGCCGAGGCACCGGAGTTGGCCGAGGTTCTGTACGCCGGTTGGATTCTCACCAAGGGTTACCCCAAGGAGATCGTCTGCGACCGCGACACTCGGTTCGTGTCCGATTTTTGGTTGGCGCTCATCAAGCGATGGGGCTCATCTCTCAAGCCCAGTTCAGCTCGCCACCCTCAGACCGATGGCCAGACGGAGAGGGCGCATCAGACCGCACAGGTTCTCCTTCGCACTCTCATCCGCCCCGACCAGAAAGATTGGGTTGAGTGACTGCCGGACGTTGAGTTGGCCTACAAATCTTCCATCCACCCGGCTATTGGGATATCGCCCTTCGAGTTCGAGCACGGCTCGCCGGTCACGTCGCCGTTGGACACGATTACTCCACGCACGACCGAGAGCGACGACCATCTTCTTTTCTTGTGTCGGATGCAAGAGCTTCTTGTCAAGGCACGCGACCAGATGGCTAAAACGCAACAACGAATGCGCCAACAGGCAAATCGCTAGCGTCTTCCTTGCCCATTCCGCGCCGGAGACCTCGTCTGGGTTTCAGCAGCGGAATTCAGCCTTGAACAAGACGTCTCTCGCAAGCTCCTCCCGAAATGGATGGGGCCTTGGCCGATCATAGAGCACGCTAGGGACGCACCCGAAGGACCCTCCTTCACGATTCAGGTCCCTAGCCACTTGCCTGTCTACCCAGTCTTTCATTGCTCAAAACAGGCTCTCTACACGCCAGTGGATCATGACGACTTTCCCGGGAGACGGACGCAAGATCCACCTTCTATGGATGGTTTTCAGGAGGTCGGCGACATCATCTCCCAGCGACGCTTTGGCAACAAGCCAACTGAGTATTTGGTGCATTTTGGCTACTGCACACATCGAGTTGACCGTTGGTTAACCCGTGCGGAACAGCAAGCGACAGCTCGAGACGTTCTCGCACGCTACGAACGCAAGATGCAGGGCAAACTGGTTTCTTCGGCTCCACGCCGAGCCCGCGTCCAGGTTTCACCTTCAGATCGACGGCTTCGCCCTCTCCCCGACTTGACTTCATAAGGATGGGGGGTTGTTACATGCAGCGCATGCACGCACGGACCATTTTGCAGGCCCGACGACCATTTTGCAGGCCCGACAGCGTTCAGGCCAAAACCCTGAACTTCAGGCCGAAAGCCTGAATTTCAGGCTGAAAGCCTGAAATCCAGGGCTTACAGGCCCCCTGTCGGTCCAGGCCAAAAGCATGAAGTCCAGGGCCTATCCCTGGTCGTTTCAGACTAAAAATGGCAACAGCCTTTTTAGCCTGAAACGAAGGGTCATTTTCGGTCGTTCATCAGAACGACCGACCCTGAAACTCAGGCACCGAACCAAGGTTTCGAACACAGACTATTATTAGTTTGTTTCCCACGCCAGCCTCAAGCAAGCTGCTGCATGCCAGCCCCTGGCACATTTCGGCATTGGCAAGAGCTGCCTCCTCAGCCTGACTGCCGTCCAGTAGTCAGGAGGCAGGCCGAGGTAGTACATAGGACTTCCCAGGCACTTCCGAGGTAGGCAGTTGGTAGTTGTAGTCTTCAGGATTCGGGTGCAGCACTCTGGAGGAAGCGCTGCGTTGTAGTAGTGGTAGCGTTAGCTAGTAGTCTTCATCGCTGGGCGCAATAGGTAGCTGTAGTCTCCAGCGTTGGGCGCCATAGCTAGGTAGTACTAGAGGGAGAGAGAGAGAGCTTGGGCAGAGGCTAGAGGTACCTACCTGCAGCGTCGTTGCTCCAGCTTCGTCTTCGAGGTACCTGCAGCACAACCCCAACATCACAGGTTAGTACTTGGTTCGTAACAGAGAGAGAGAAAAAGTTCTTCTTCTTCCTCTTTTCAGTCCACCATCTCTTCTCTCCCTCTCACTTCTGACTTCACTGCATCTGCAGACTATGAGAGAAGAGATAAGAGTTTGGTGACATTGGATCCAGACTCGACTTTCGAGGGTTCAGACATGGCAACGAGGGACTATTTGGGATTGGTGACCAAGACTTGGTGTTAACGACAT